ATATTAATAAGAAGTAAGATTGAAAACTATTCTTACCTTCATGTTCTAAATCCAAATAGTTATCATCCTCAAGAGAAAAATTCTTCAATTCTGAAAAATATTTAACAATCTTATCATTCATTATGTTAGGAAGAAAATCCGACACTGTGCCGGTGTACTGGCGCAACACTAGCCTTACTAAAATATCAACGTTTATGTCCCCTCACTAATCATTCTCACATTTGAAAGTTAAAAAAAAATCCTTTGACGAAAAAGGATTCTAACCAATAATGTCTATATCTGAGGAAGGGGAAGGGACTAATCAAGATAATGAATAGTAATACCTGTAAAAAACTCGTCCTCTTCCACCTTAATGGGCACAACACCGTCATCATCTGTCCCTAGAAAAAAAAAAACATCAATGTAAGTAATTTTCATCCACAATCCAACGATTTTATGTAAAATTAAAAATCGACCTCAACCAGTCTTTGCCGAAGTGTGCGATAACGCCCCCTTGTGGGCGCTGCAGGTCTCAAGTTGCGGGTCATAGTAAAAGTTTCCTTTACAATTCTCCGTTAATATACATATATAGCTCACAATAATTAATTAATTTAATTTGAAGTTATAGTGGTTTTTAAATATGTGAAAATATGGGGCGGCTAAAAAAATATTTATTCTCAAAGTGGGCAGTAGACAAAATAAGTTTGTGAACCACTGGTCTATACCTTGTTAGTGCATAAATTAAAAAAGTATCCTATAACATGTCCGCATACATCAGCTACCTTCCAGTCAAAATCCAGTCAACCCGTTCCGGAGATACCGGGGACAAACACACAGACAAAAATTTGTTTTTTTTTCCGATATTACATAGTCACTCCAATTTTATTATAATTTATCTTACTAATATTATTTATGTGTTATGTTTGTGTTTATGTTTTATACAAGACAGGCTTTGGTGATATTGATTTTTTGATTAGTTGATAGGTAAAGAGGTGGGAAGACGACCTCAAAAAAGTTGCAGGTCGTTTATGGATTAGAGAAGCCAGGGATAGACAGAAATGGAAATCTTTAGAGGAGGCCTTTGTCCTAGGACAAGCTGTAGATTAAGGATAGCAGTCGCCGGTTTAAAACTATTTTTTGATATATTTATTGATTTATGTAACTAAAAAAAAAGTATGAAAATTTGTAAAACTAATTATCTTCAGCAATAAAGGCTTTATTATTATTATTATATTTATACAAGATATGTCCAATACATGTGAACGGAACTCGCTGAAATTAGGCATAGATGTAGAACATCTGGAAGAACACATAGACCATTGATTAAGTTTTTAATCCTGCAGAGACGGAGTTACAGGCTACAACTAGCACTATAGAATTTCAAAACAAGTGTCATGGGCAAGCCTAAATAGACGTTTAATAAACTGTTTTTCAATTAATAATGTTTTTAATTACCAGTCAAAGAATCTTGCTCATCATCTTTAACGTCTTCATCATTTTTCGACTCTGAAAACAAAACAGGCAAACATTATAACAATAAAATAACAACAAAGTATATACCAACAAGGTTATCCAATCCCGTGAATATGAGTCGAACAAAATTATAATAGCTCAGCGCCCTCCTGTTATAATCCTTGTCACCATAGCTGTCTTGTCATGTCTAAGGTTCTCGGCGAATGGGTGTCAATGGCCTAGCCATTGCTGTCCGAAAACACTACTTTTATAACACTTTCTCACTCCGATATAGAATGCTCACACTATATTACTAATATTATAATGTTCATTAGAAGGTAGGTCTTGAATAACTGTATGGATCTCGCTGAAATTTGGCATACATATAGAACATAGCCAGCAAGAATACATAGGGTACTAATTAAGTTTGTTTTTATTCCTGCTCAAACAGAGTCACAGGTGACCGCTTGTATCTAATATTAACTAAGCAGGAGTATCGCTACAGTATTAACCACAAGTGGCGAGTTGTCACTGCTGTAGTGAGTGGCCACCACCAACCACATGTGTGTGCAGAATTCTCACAAAATGTATCAAAAATCGTGTAAACTGCTTGTGGCCACTGGCGACTGTGGTCGGTGGCCCATTTACACCAAACCTATTATGTTTTATATGTTTTCTGACAGTACTGGCCACAACATCAAAGACACAATCCAGCCTAGATAGCCGCACAGTCACACTATAAACTTTAAACATTATAACAATAAAATAAGAACAAATTATACCTTTAATTTTAATGGCATTTCTGTTGTAATAATCTTTGAATTTATTCTCACAGTTTTCCACCTGCTTCATAAAATCATATGCGTCCCTGAGCCGTAGTACACATGATTCGCATATTTTATTTATCATGTTATGTAAGGGACCTGTTACTGACTCTATCTGAAATGTAACACAGTAATGTTTTTAATCCTTACTTCTTACTAATATAAATATGAATGTTTTAATGGATGGATGTTTGTTTGAAGATATGTCCACAATGGCTCAATGGATCTTGATTAAATTTTGCAGGGACATAGAACATAGTCTGGAAGAACACACAGGCTAGTACTTGAGTTTCTTTTTAATTCCGCGAGGACGGACTCGTGGGCGACAGTTAGTAATATTATAAACGCAAAAGTAAGTCTGTTTCTGTCCCTTTATGCAAAAACTACTGAAACAATTGAAATAAAATTTGGACATATGCTACTTTTGAACACGAAAAAGGGGTTGAAAATTTGTATGGATGTAGTTTTTGTTTTACAGTTAGAAGCTAGAAACTTATTTTTTAGGCTGTTAATTTGATATAAATTATAACACAATAAATGTTAGGTAAAAATTTAATCTAATACCTTATCGTATTCACATTAATAATATTCGTAGCACATAGTATGTACTACAAACATAATATTCGTAGAACATAGTATGTACTACGAATATTATTTTTAAAGTATCAATATCGTCGTAAATATGGTAGTAAATTGTTTTTACAAATTAACAACAAAGCTAAGTACACTTACACCTATTTTAAAACAGGCCTTTAACATGTTGGAATAGATTTCTGTTATCCCATTTAGTTCGCGCGGTTTCGTCAAATTAATAAAAACACCTTCGGCATGACAACAACGACATAAGTCGCCTTCCAACTCCCAGTTTTCAGACATTTTGAATTACGATACCAATCGGTACTATTAAATATACAGAACAAACTTAATTAACAATCATTTCTTATAAATTACAAATACTACACATCAACCGCACATTTGTTTTGTTGCGGCCATATTTTCTGCTATCAAAGAGTATGTAACTATTTCGTAGTATTAACTGTTTTATACTCTTTAAGAGGTAAGAATCATGAAAAATGTTTGACAATTTAATTTTTTTTCTAGTCGTTAGAAAAAATATCTAACATTTAAAGAATAACATTAAAAAAAGAATTGGACTCCATTTTATAATATAATGGAAATATAATTATTTCCAATGTACTCATTCAGCGCCATCTCTTGTCACAAAAGTATTTTGTTCAAATACCTTCAAACAAACATCCATCTATCCATTTTAACATTCGCATTTGTTCGCATTTATAATAATAAAAAGATCAGTCAGACAAAACTACCTACTGAGCACCAGATGCAAGAAAGTGGAAAATGGTAATTCTTCTGTTAGGCGGCCGGCACTTAGGGTCTTTTAAAAAAAACCCGCAAGACTTTTATTTAACTCTACGAATTTATATTTCGACTGTGTGGTCTCCGAATCCGGATTGTGTGTTTAAATCGCGAGCTTTAGATTCTGACTAAGTTAAAAATGTAACTGTACCTACAAGGTAAACTAATTTAGCTGATTGCAATGGAAAAACTTCGTCAGTGTTCATTTGCTGACTGTGCAGCCTTTGCATAACAGGTAGGGTTATTACAGTTTCAATAAAAAATAAAGCAATATTTATTTTTTAAACATTTAATAAATATAACCAAAAGAACGCACTTAAAGTTGCTCTGATAAGTAACTTAAAAACATAAATAATACACAATATAACATCTTATATTATTAATATTTAATAATGTTATTTTTCTTTATTTAATTAAAAAAGACTATCAAAACCGGAATGTATTCACAGGTGGAAAAAAAAATAGTCTATGAGTTATACAGTCTACAGAGTACTTGATTTATTATTACTAATCAATCTTAATCATGCTGACATCTATAGCAAGCAAATGCAATTTTTCCCCCCATTATTGTGACACTATCGCTGATATCTATAAATGGATAGGTCATTAATTAGAAAGGACAGTATTTTCAACGTTCGAACAAAAATGTGCCTGTTTAAGTTCCAAACAGTTAATTCCATATCTGTTATTAGTTCCAATCCTCTCCACCACTATCAAGCGCCAAAATGGCGTAGATCAAATAGGCACAAAATACCGCGGTTTATAACCTTTCCATAGTCAGTGGACATTACGAATTGTTTACTCTATTTTGACTTTCCTCAAATTCCGCTAATGTCAAACCGTGATTTGACAACATATGGCTTTTCAAACTACATTTCTGTACAAAAGCCGAACTACACAATCTACATTTGAAACGTCTATCATTATTATGAATTCTCATATGTTCTCTTAAAGTTTTCTTTCTTGTGTAACGTTTTTTACACACCATACATTGATATATTCTCTCACCATTATGCGTAATCATATGATCATTTAAGAAGCGTTTTATGAAAAACCCTTTGCCGCAAATCGTACAAATGTGATCTCGTTCCATTAAATGATTTTGTTTTATATGTGAAGTTAATTTCGATTTTAATATAAACGTTTTATCACATATATTACATTTATAATTAGATGAATTATGTTCGCTAAATAAATGTCTATTACGTTGATAATAACTTGTAAAAGATAATTCACAATACGGACAATTAGTTATATATCTTGTTGAATTATTATGTGTATAATTAATATGAAATTTCATTTTAACTAATGTATTAAATACTTTATCGCAATGATTACATTTATATGTACCAATATCGTGAGTTTTCATATGAGTTTTTAAACTGTTTTGATTCATATATCCCATATCACATATATTACAGGTAAAATATCTATAATGTCCGTTCATATGTTGTAGTAATGTTTTAAATGTTTCGTATGTTGAATTACATAATACACAATTATATATTTGTGATGTTTTTAATTTGACTTCGTAAACACAATCGTTTATGTTTGGATAGAATTTTATATTATGTTCCGTGACTAAATGTGTTTTTAAATCTTTTATATATATCATTTTATTATCACATAATGTACATTTCAAATCTGTTATATCAATTTTTAATGTTATTTCACCTTTTCTTGTTTTATATTGATTATTGTTCGATTTTTTATGTATTTCGTTATAATGTGTTTGTAATTCGTTTATTTCTCGATATGTTTTTTTACAAAAAGCACACACTATCCCCATAATTGTTTTCTGTGAGAATGGTAAACAATTTGAGTATTTTAATATATTATTAAGATTTATTATCTGTTTACTTTTATCGTTTAAAAAATTAAATTTCACATTATTCGAGGATTTTACAATACCAAGTGATATTTTTCTACATGAATCGTTACGGCAATCTGGAAATAAATTAAAAAATTATAGCTATTCGTACTTTTCTAAACTAACCGTTGATTTCTGAGACCTTATTCATCCATATCTTTGACAAAAGAGAGACAATATGTTTGAAATGGATCTGTTGGTCTCAGAAACACAGTCTGTAGTGGTAAAAGAGGGTAAATAGATACAAAACAAGGGTAAGTGTCATATGTACAGTGAGATTCGGTCTACTATATGTTTCCACTGAGGGTCTTAGAGCCTAACCTAAGTCCTAACTAGGTCATAGTGAATGCTGGTCCAGTGCAAAACACTTCACGCATTTCTTTTGAATTTCTTCACAAATATGTGCAGCATCACAATGTTTTCCTTCACCATAAGAATGTAGGATAAATGTAAATGTGTATGGAAAAACACATTGGTACATGACGGGATTCAGACCCAGGACTGCAGATTACAAGTCAAGTGCTAAATCCTATCCAAGAAATTATTTCTATCTGTGTTACCTTTTAGAATAAGTTTCTTTTCATTCTTGATTTCCATTTTACTTTCTATAGTTTTGCCGTTGGTGACATCTTTGGGTTCAATCACTTTGGAAATAACCTCATCTCCTTTCATTAATTCATCATCCAATAATTCTTCCTTTAAGTCTGGAAAAAAAATCTAATAAGAATAAAAGTAGAACAGAGTTAGACGGAATAATTATTCTTTCCATAGACATGAAACTGTTCTTTTTAATAAACATACTTTTAAGTTGCCGTTTGGAACATGTCTATTATTATTTATAAATTGAGTAGCTGGCATCCGCGATTCCGTTCGTGCGGGATTAAAAAAAAACTTAATTAGTGACCTGTGTTTGTCTAGGCCATGTTCTACATCTATGCCATTATTAAAAAAGATCCATAAGTCGCTCTGGAGATCCCTTCTTACTTTTAAGAAACATCCATCCATCTAAACATTCGCATTTATAATATTAGTAAGTTATAATCTGTATTTTGCCCGATTAAGAGGTACTTTTTTTATAAAATAGTTAGGATTGTAAGGGTTTTAGGCAGTATTCTGTAATCCAATTAATCTGTTTGTTGGACATTGCCCTGAAAAACATTTGGAGGATTTGCACAAGTCTCTGTCTATTTTTAATAGTCAAAAATTTAAGAAATTATCTCACCATAATCAAAATCATTTCCATCCTCAAGATCGGAACACTCCAGCTTCACTAATGTGTCATCAATTTCATCTAAAATTTAAAATAATACATAAAACTCCTAATTAAAATGTATAGTCACCAAATAACATTGGTAGAGCCCGCTTTAACATCTTCGTACGAATTGTCCCGGCTCGCCCGGTGAAATACCACGACTACACAGACGACAGGCGTGAAGTGGAAGCAATTCCGCGTTTCGTCTGATGAGTGTGCGTCACGGAGGCCTAATTTAGTCCTCTTTCCCTTTCCCACCCTTTTTCTTATGAGGAAGGGTTAGGAAGTGGAAGTGAACTTTCTGGATGAGAGAATGCATGGAAAGAGAAAGTGTTTTCTTTCTGTGCATCCTCTCCTCCGTCGATTAAAGGTAGGCAACGCATATGCAATTGCGTATGTCAATGGGCAACGGTCACTTCGCTATTTCAGCGATTTCAGGTGGCCGCTGGCTCCTTTGCCACCTTATGATATGAAAAAACAAACAGCGGTCATGATGCTATTTCACTTTTAATGTTATATTGTGGATATTTTTAGGAAGGAAGAGCTGGTCTAACAAAAAATCTCACATTTTATATCAAGATCCTATTAAAGATGTCCTGTATCGTAAGACAGGACAGAACTTAGTTTATTATGATGAAAATATTTTTTGCTAAGATTATAATATTATATACCTTTGATATATAACTTTGTAAGTGTAGTCTCGAATTTCTTTTGGCACTGGATGACCTGTTCCTTAAAATCTGCAGCATTACAGAGTCTGGAGACGCACTCATCACATATACCGTCATCAGATCCATTGCTGCTTACAGGTAGCTGGAAAGTACAAATTATGGTTTGCATACTTTTTTGGAATTCTACCAATTGGAAATTAATTGACAATTTTCTCTTTGACCATGTTATAGAAAGAAAAAAAAATCTTTATAATGTACAAATAATACTATTTTATCGGTCATTTTTCCTAAATCAAATCGATAAGTTATACCGAAATACTTAATTGATATTTTTAAAAACAAGAGACAATATTTACATGTATTTCGAAGCATTTTTTCAGTAGATCTTCATATATTTCAGCTTTTCCTAGACGCGTATATGTTGTTTTAAGCTTTTTATCAGGTGGCTGTGCCAGACAGCATCGGCACAAACTATTATTGTTCATGGTTATTATTTTTCATCAAAAATTATATACACATAATATTGAATTCCTTCTAACGATGTGGAATATAAATAATCAATAATAAACTTTTATTTTCGTAAATCAATTTATTGACATTGACGGATCTACAGTGTTGCACTTTAACATAACAATGAAAAACCAATTTAAAATCGGTAAATGAAAGAAGCCAAAAAAAGTATTAAAATGTTCACAAAACTTCGATTTCTTTTACATATAAGTCATTGTTTTTGCAATAAAAAATTTAAGAATTGACAAAATTAAAATTAAGATTGCATCTAATTTATTTTTTATATCCGTTTTTTATAGAAATAAAGTTTTCCGATCATAATAAACTACATTTCTGTTTCTGAACGTCATTTTTCTACTTATGAAAATGGCGGAATATCACAGTACGGCGTCGATTAAGTTTCTTTAGATTTAAGATAGTGTTTTAGTATAAATGTCGATAGTATAAGATTAATAATAGTGGAAATAACGAAATAGTGTAGTTAATAAAATGGAGACTAAAGGAATCGACGGCATGTGCCGGTGTTGTGCTTCGTCTGGTATTTTCAAAGACATGTATGCGACGTATAATTGGATGGGCGAAGACGAGATTTATGCAAATATGCTACAATATTGTTTTGATATAACAGTAAGTAATATCTAAAGATTATGAAGCTATCATAGCGTAGTTCTTATATTATATTTTTTCAGTAAATTATTGATTTATTTGACAAAGGTTTTTACAGTCCACAAAATGGCAATTGTTTCATTATGTTTGCACGTAACTATAACTTTTAAAACAACGAAATATTTCAGATGCTTAAATTATGTCTTAAGAGACTAAAATTATTTGTTTATTTATCAAGATACATTTCTGACTGACAAGTCATTTTAGACGCGTTATAATTTATGTACTGAGACATGGATAAATTACGATGTCTTATGTTTAGCCAGTATTAGCATATAAGAATTTAAACTTTTTGCATTATTGAACTCTAATTTTGCATTTTATTAATTGGCTGTCTGAAAAAAATCTTTTCCATTGTCTAGTCTTCAACAACTGAATGTATTTTGATGAGTGAGGTGTCTTTCTATTCATATTCTTCCCCCGAGTGACATACATTACTAGCTGTTGCCTGTGACTCTCATCACAGGTTTAAAAAAAAGGTAGTAGCCGAAAATTTCATTAAAATTATTCAAGCCATATTGTAGAAGTATGGTAACTAACATTGTCATGAGAATAATATATATAACAGATTTTTTTTGTAGTTATCAACAGCAGAAGACCAGAACAATGGTGGTATTTGTGAGGTATGCATCACACAGTTACGTAATGCTGCAAACTTCAAGAAGCAAGTCCAACAGACTGAGGTGCAGTTCAAGAAGTTGTTGGAACGAAAAGAATTTAGTCGTAAGTAATATATCCAATTGGAGTGCTCTTGTCTTTATATTTTACGTTGATAGTCTCATTTTAATATTTTTATTATCTGTTGCAGCTAAACCGGTGAAAATAGAAATAACAGATATGACAGAATTAATGGATGATGCTATCCACTCTGATAATGAAATGTCTGATTCCGATGCAGGTTAGTATGTCTTTATATTTTTCACACACTTATCAACAATGGTAGATGCCCGCATTGGTTGCATGAATGGATTCTCCTGCTGCAATTCCATGACCACAGAGAAAACATGCCTCAAGTGGAAGAAATTCCGAGCACAGTCTGATAAGTGTGTTCTGGATGTCTAATTTTAGTTATTTTAATTGTAGTCCTTTTCCTTCCCACTATTTTATTGTAAACAAAGGGTGGGATTGGGAAGTGAATTTGACAGAATAAAAGTCATCAATAAGGGAATGTCTTATTTCTGTGTGTCCCCTCATTTGTTGGTAAAGGTTGGTAGCACATCTGCAATTTCAGATGTCTATGGGCTAATATAGGTGCCTGCTTGCTTTTTGCCAATCAATAATTTAAAAAAAAAACCTAGCATGTTGAGAGGTTAGTTAGGAGATCTTGTGTTTGACATACCGCTACTGATCTTTTGTGATTTAGTTATGCCGACCAGATCAGATAACTTTTAGGCTAAGATTATAATTTAAAGTATACTGTTCAAGTTATCATCAACATGCCCGTATTCCAACGTAGGCATTGTATGTACTCCATATGTCTCTGTCAACTGTCATATCTGAATCTACCCCCTACTTACGCATATTCTCTTTCACATACATATTTCTTTGGTCTTCCTTTACTTTTGTGGGCACACATTAAATCAATGGTATTCAGTATTTACCATTCAAGCCAGAATCCATGAGAACAAAATATTTATCTTGCTTATAGAGGTTTCTCGCTGACATTGCCATTTTCAAACTTTAATTTTCTACTATTGGCAATCTACGTTGCAGGATTTATATGACTACTAGCTCTCGCTTGCGAATCCGTGCGCGGAATTAAAAAACAACTCACAAATAGTAATCATGCCAAATTTCGCCAAGATCTGTTGAGTCGTTCTGAAGATACCTTCTAACATCTAAACTTTCGCATTTATAATATTAGTTAGATATTTGTCTATTTTACTTAACCACTACATTTTACTATTACAGAATTTTCTGTTAATATAAAACGAGAGAGTCCGGAGCCAAAAGCTAAGAAGAGAGCGAAAGCGACAAGTTCCAGAGCTGATGATGATACCGGCGAACCATCAACAAAACGTAAGTGTTTAGTTTGAATTATTGGTGACAGTGGCCATGTTCTTATGCACGGAGAAAGAAAAATTGAATAAAATATTTATAGCTAGGTTTTTTGATAATTAAAAAGATTTCACCCGGAATTAAAAACAATAATTTTGTTGAGTTATATGGATCACTTTAATCTTATCTTATAAATGTTTGGATGGATGGATTTTTGTTACAATGTATCCACCAGAATGTCTGTGTGGATCTTGCTCAAATTTATCATAGACTAGCTGTTGCCCGCGACTCCGTTTGCGTGGAATGAAAATAAAAAACTTAATTAGTTTTCGGCCATTATTGGAATTTTTCTCTACTTTTAAACCTTCCTTAGACCTCCATGAACATTTCAAGAGTAAGATAAGATAAATCTGTTCTGTTCTCGTGTTTTAACGAGACTAACGAACAGCTATTTATATATATAGATGTAAAATGTAGTCTGGAAGAATGCATAGACTACTAATTAAGTTTCTTTTTTTTAAATAAGAGCTGCATCGCCCGATAGGATGACTACTAGTTAAATATTTCTAGAAATAATCCTAAATCTAATAGGAATTTTACTGGTCTTATTCGAATTTATGATATTGTTGTTTTCAAAGATAAAGCTCGAGATATTTTAATTTTTAAATAATGTCGCATGGGAACATGGTCACTGGATCACTTTGAAAGTTATAAGGAAAGCCATCATTTAATAGAATATATCAAGTTTAGAGGCAATGTAGTGCCCCCACCGAGACGAGGCTTAACCAATTTAAAATATAGTGTAATTTATCTGTTTTTAATGCATTTTTTTTTACTTAGTTACGTCGAAAATTTACTGTTGAGAGAACCCAGTTACAAAGGAACATGTTATTTTTTTTTATATAAAATGAACAATTTTTTTTTAAATGGCGTCTTTCCTAATATCTTTTATGTAATTTTTCTTGTTTTAAGATGTTTATGACAGTGTTGCAAAATGATATCCCGCGAATTGCGTTTAAAAAGTTTTTTTTTAATTTTTCCGTAAAATAAAGACGAAATATCGTAATTTTTGGCCGCGATATCATTTTGCAATTGTTTTTTACAAAGCTTATGTATCAAAAAGGGTTTATTTTTTAATTTTTTTTAATATATATGTATAAATTTTCTATGCCATTTCTTTTTTTAAAATTAGAAGTATAATATGAACTTTTTTTTGCTTATTGATGGATTTTAATTAATGTTTTAAACCAAAATTTGCGTAAAATGAATTTCTATTATCAAAATCTTTTCGTCTATAACATATTAAACACAAAAACACACTAGACTCGTAAACGAAAGTTTTTTAATGCAAATATTTGCTTATATTGGTCCAATTTGATACCCTTGTGGTACACCATACAATTATTTCGGTTTTTATTAACGTATAGAATTTCAAACTTTATCCCAACTGTGCATATTATTACGAGGATAAAGTGATACGATATCAAGAATTTAATTTGGATATTTCGGTATTTTTTGTATGGGTAAGTAGTAACTCACTTAGTCAAACGCTCTTGTGAAATCGATGACAATTTTTTTTTGAATTTTTTTTAAAACTTATAACTTCTAATAATAAACATAAGTTTGATAATGATTTTAATACAACTTTATATAATTTTATTTATTTAGAAATCAAGTACAATAACGTATATTGTAATTTAAAATAAGTTTTTATGTTATGAGTCAGTATGACATGTAGTGGTCACTTATTAAAAATAACGGATTAATTCATGTGTACATCAGGTACAGACTAATTTAATGAAACTAGTCGATATTTACTAGTTAACCAAAAGTCAATAATTTAAGACATTATTGATTAGAATCATTTGACGCGCTTTCGGTACCAAGTCAAGTGTCAGATTAGTGAGGGGACATAAACGTTGATATTTTAGTAAGGCTAGTGTTGCGACACATCGACACACTATCGGATTTTCTTCCTAACAGTTAGTAATAGTTTATCAAGCCCTGAGATACGCATAGGTGTAGAACAAAGCCTAAAAGAATACATAAGCTACTAACTTAGATTGTTAATTCTGGGCGGACGGAATCGCAGGTTTTAGCTAGTTTTATAACTATAGAACGTGTATTCATTGGATTTTACTGCATAAAAATATTGTTTTTAACACTATAAGTGTAATTGGAGTAAGCATATGGAATAGTAATGTTTCAGTCTCAGGTTCAAAGCCTAGCCTACTAGTTGTTTATTGTCAGACATATTTGTCAATGATACGGCTTTCAATGTCTGCGTTCAACACATTGCCTAGGCAAAATTATCAAGCATTTAATTTATCTAGTAATTTTTCAAAGGATAAAAACTTGAAAAGAACTTCATGATATATCTTAATTGTTCAACTTTAAAACAACAGTGGAAGAAATAAAGAAGATATAGAGAAGAGAATGGATCGGTGATAATTGAGATGTGCCCGTTTGTTGTTATAGGAACTGATTTGGAGCCTTCAAAGCGCAGAAAGAGGAGTAAGAAATCAACAGAAAGCGCAACACCGGAACGTATAGAACATAGAGTTAATTTGACATCAATACTGCAGCATTCGAATGCAACACCATTCCGTGATAAAACAATGAGAGGTTTCTCATGTTTATATTGTGCTAAATATTATCAAAATATTGAAGATCTACGTAAACATACGTCTGAACAAATGGAAAAAGATAAAATTAATACAATGATTGATTACAAACTCAGTTATAATCCTATAAAATTAGATATAACAGATCTCCGTTGTACCATCTGTAGTGCAAATATGAGAGATCTTAATGAATTAAAAGAGCATTTAGTTAATATACATAATAAAGTTATATATAGAAATATAAAAGATATAATATTACCTTTTAGATTAGATAATGGGCATAACTTCACTTGCGTTATATGTTCAGTTGTGCATATATCTTTTAAAAATTTATATCATCATATGAGTAGTCATTATAGAAATTATTGTTGTAAAAAATGCGGTGCTGGTTATATAACGATAGCTGCATTAAGGAAACACGGTAAAACACATTATCAAGGCAATTTCCCTTGTGGTTATTGTGATAAAGCTTATACGTCTTTAACAAAGAAACGTAACCATGAAAAAGGTGTACATACAGGTGGATGGCTGAGGAACAAATGTCCCCATTGTCCTGAAATATTCGTTAGTTACTATGACCGTAGTGAACATCTTGTTAAAGTACATAATGAAACACCAATATTATATCCATGTAATGCGTGTAATAGAACATATAAGAAGAAATTCGAATTAAATAGACATATAAAACATCATCATTTGCAACAGAAGAATTATTTATGTGATAAATGTAACGCAAAGTTTTTCTCAAAGCGTGGTCTAGTTGATCACATGTTGCGTCATACTGGTGCAGAGTTGTGCGCGTGCGATGTTTGCGGCAGATCATTTTCTAGAGCACGCACTTTGAGGGAACATATGCGTACACATGATGATGATAAAAAGTTCCAATGTGAAGTTTGTAAGAAAACTTTTATGCAGAAATGTAGTTTGAAAAGTCATGTTCGGTTACATCAAGACGATTTAGATATATTCAAAGAGTTTGATGATGTGAAGCATCTGATAGATAATAGGGAATTGACCTTGAAACAAATTGCAGCTGAGAATAAGAAGAAAGCTGATGCCCAGAAGATTATTGAACAGTTGTCATAGTTATGGATCTCGATAGTTTTATATTAGGTGCATTTCACACTTTTATTTTGAATTTCGTAATAAATCTAGATATTTTAGTATAGTTTGTCTATTTAAGATGGATTAGTTTGACAATTCACTAGATATGGGTTGATTAAAATCGATTATGAAAATTTTTCATTAACAATATGAATGAAATTGTTTCTTTTTACGCTAACTTTTTTTTTAAACTACCCAAAAAAAATAAAATTAAAAACAAAAGTTTAAATTTCGAGAAAAAAAAGAACTGTTTTTAATGTTTTTTTATTGCCCCTAGACAGCTAAATGTCTTTGATAAATTAAAAGCAATAAAATACCTACGTTATAGTATTTATTTGTAGTTTGTGTAAAGTGGCTCAGGAGTTAAGCACTTGACTTGCAATCTATAGGTCCTGGGTTCGAATCCCGCCATGTACCAATGGGTTTTCCATTTCCGATTTACATATGTACATTTATCCGATGTTACTGTGAAGGAAAACATCGTGATGCTGCACATATCTGAGAAGAAATTCAAAGATATGTGTGAAGTCACTGCACTTGGTCAGCGTGGTTGACTATGACTTAATCACCCCTAACTTAGGATAGGCTCCGAGCCCCTCAGTGGGGACATATAGTGAGCTGATGATGATAGTATTTAATTTTCGATAAACTTTATTACAAGACCGATTCTCGATTCGATAGTTCATAGTTGTTCGTTATGTACACTCCGACACTATAACATCCATTAAGTACAACATTAATCCTCATACAAAATTAATTTGATACTTTATAGGCGTCAGTTGTTAAACTAATCTATCTTAAATAGACACTATAAACAATATATGTTTGCTTATGAAAAGTTAGATTTTAGTTTGTAATATGGCTAGATTTTTTAAAGACGAAATTAAAAATCTATCGTTTAACTATGTACATAGGTGCAGTGATAATTGAATTTTAATTATCAGCCATAGATTGTACAAATAAGTTTCTTTTATTGCAATTCTTATTTAATAAAGGCCATAGATTTATAGCTGATAGATACGAAATTCAGAGCAAAAAATCGTGGTCAAATTAAATCTTTTGAAGGGCTTTTGTTGGGACAAATTACCTCTGTGTTGTAATTTACACAAAGTGATTGGATTGACTTTCGTTTAGACGTCATATTTGTATGTAATGCTCCATATCTATCTGTATACATTTAATATTGGAATGTCTGTATGCAATATTGAAAAAAAAACATATTACGCGAATATGAAGTATTTGCGTTGGTAAACGAATAATCGTTTTTTTAAATTTTTGTCTGTATGTTTGTTTTGGGTAGTCTCTGAAACAGCTGGACAGATTTTGACGGGACTTTTACTACAAGATAGCTTATGTATGCGAAAGTAACTTGGGCTATTTTTTTTATTCTTTGCTGACTAATTTTCGGGTAATCGGGTCATATACTTATTTATACATTTGAATCTTTGAATTGACTACGGCCTATTCACCGCTAACTTAGGGTAGGCTCCGAGCCCCTCGGTGGGGACGTATAGTGAGCTGATGTAGGTACATTTGAATGTTTAAATCCAGTTTTAGGACATCCGAGTAATGTAAGGTGTTTTGAGTTTTATAAGGGTGAAAAGCTGTCTTTGTCTATTCTCTATGATGGTGTTACTATTGTGAATTTAGGTTCTGTATGAGAACTTTAAAACTATTATTAAAGCAAAGCATTCTTGACAGCAAAAAGTTGTAGTCGAATAAAACTAGATGGCGCTGTTTATATTGAAAACGACGCTATCAACATTTGAATTTATGCGAAGAAAGAGTTAGCTATAGTATATTGAACCGTATTATGTTTTATGACCTTTTCTTTTCAATAAACCGGGGATACAAAGTTATTTGATGGTAAAAATAATATAGGTACTACAAAATTATCTTGCCCGGTGAGTGCTGTCTCATGTCAAGTACAGTATGACACAGATCTTGTGACGTTTATGACTGGGCGTTAAGTTTTTATTTAGTAACTTATGCCCACCGGGTCAGATAATTTAGTAGATCTATGTACAGATCAGTAATTTAGTGTAAAGTAATTCATTTTGACAAAATGTATAGATTATATTATACATTTTTAAGCTGATTTTTCTTTTATTGTTTAACAACCTTTTTTGGAAGAATTAGAGAAGAAAAAGATGAGAAGTGCGTTCAGAAACTTGGTGACAAGCGATTGTTTTGACTTATTCGGTGTTTTTCTTTTTTGGATAAGTTTTTCGGTGTGTAGTGCACGTGAATTAAATGTGATATTTATATATGAGCTTAATAATGCGACGGCCTGTCAATACGTTGATTTTTCTTTTATAGGCCACACAGCAGTGACCCGAAGACGGGTAAAGGGAGTCGACGGGAAAATTAAAACTACCCATACTGAAAAAATCTTATCGGAAATGCAAAAGCAATGGCATAATTTAAGAACAATATTAAAATATTCAAATGCAACACCATTTAAAGATAAAAATGATGCTGGGTATATTTGTGCGTATTGTTTCAAGACATACCCAGATCCAGATGTATTAAGAAATCATACGCAATACCAACATGTTAAAGAAAAGCCGACGTACAAAGCTGGTTCAGCATTGAGTTGTTTTGCGGCATTCTTAGATATTGTCAATTTAAAATGTACTATTTGCGATCAAGGAATGGATAATTTGAAAACGCTATCAGAACATCTAATGAAAGTACACGATATGAAATATTATGTTGGCCTAACTGATTATTTCCAACCCTTCAAGTTGACACAGGAACAGCTAATGAAATGTTGTTTATGTAACGAAGTGTATCATAATATGAAATTGTTATTCCAACATATGAATGTACATTATAGGAATTTTATATGTACTATATGTGGGGCTGGATTTGTTAATAGTTTTAGACTGAGTAGACATGAGACGACGCATGCTAAGAAATCCAGTTACCCATGTAGACAGTGTGGTCAAACATTTGCAGCGGAGTCTAAGAAAAAATCACACGTTAATACAGAACATAAAGGTATAGCTGGTGATAGTGTTTGTCAGATATGTAAAGCTAGGTTTAAGAATTACTATCAAAAAACAAGGCATATGATGCAAATGCATAATGCAGAAGGTATAAAATGCGATGTTTGCGATAAAAGATTTAACCTCAAATCTAATTTGAAGCTGCACATGAGAAGTGTACATTTAAAAGAACGTAAATTCGAATGTTCTGAATGTAATATGAGATTTTTTGTAAAACGCCATATGATTGGACATTATTTAGCAACTCATACTAATGAAAGAAAATTCAAATGTGATATTTGTGGGAAAGCTTACGCGACGGAGAATAGTAGAAGGAAACATTTGAAGAAAAATCATGGAATATCAAAGACTGTGTAACACATGAGTACATTAATAAGCTTAGCGGAAATAGGCATTTAGTATTTGTATATTGATGTTTCATAGTATTATAAGTGTGATATATAATATTGAATTTCATTTATAACCTTTTATAATTTAATATGAAATAATTTTGTAGTATTTCTATCGGAAATAGCAAAATTTGTCCAACTTATAAAAATGGAATTAATGAGTTTGTGTTGCCTGCAAATGGACCGTTTCAAATAAGTCGGAGAGTCGCGGAAAGTCTTTTAAATGCAAAAATAGGCAGTTATGTTAGGCATTTATTATAGTTGCTATGTTTGTTCGAATTGTAACATTGGTTTGGTGTAGATATACAAAAAATACTTTTTCTTATAGAATTAACAATGTAACGGTGGATTTATTAATTGATTCAATTACAGCCTTTGAAGAAATCAAAGTCAATAACATGTAATTTTCTCTTGTAGGAAAACATCGTAAGATAAGAAAAATCGGAACAGAATCAAGCGAATTAAACGATAAAAGCAGGGGTCATGAATTAATGAAACATAGAAATAATATCAGAGAGATATTAAAATGTTCCAATGCAACACCTATAAGATGTCATGTAGGCATTGGTTACGCGTGTGCATTCTGTGATAAACAATATCCAGACCCGAAGGACCTAAAGAAGCATACATTAGAAGAACATGATTCAAAAACAAAGCGGAAGTTTATGGAAGGAAAACAAATGTTTTCTTATATTGTAAAGCTTGATATTACCTCTTTGATATGTAACCTCTGTGGTACCAACATACCCACATTAGAACAATTAATAGACCATTTAATTAATGTACATAATAGAAAATTTTATATTGACATCAATAATCATATATTACCATTCAAATTTGATAATGATCTGTTACTCAAATGCGTATATTGTGTGAGCTTTTTTAATAAATTCAAAGCTCTATTGGAACATATGAACATACATTATAGGAATTACGTCTGCGATGTTTGTGATTCGGGATTCGTAAATAAAAATATATTATTGAATCATTCAGAGGCACATAAAAAGGGTGTATTCAAATGTGATTACTGTGATAAAGTATACGATACTTATCGTAAGAAGAAATCACATGAAAAAGCTGTCCATATACATTTAAATATGTTGAACAGATGTGGATACTGCAATGAAAGATTCAATACTTACAGTAGAAAGTTGGAACATTTGGTTAAAGTTCACGGCGTACAATCGCCAGCATTGAAATGTCAGGCTTGCGACAAACAATTTGAAACACAAAAATCTCTAACAGTTCATGTGAAACGGGATCACTTATTAGAAAGGAGACATGAATGCAAGATTTGCGATATGAAATTCTTTGTGACTCATCAATTGCAGCAGCATATGATTAAGCATACAGGTTTGCCTAGTTTTGTATGCGAAGTATGCCACAAAGCGTATAAGCGTAGAAAGACATTGAAAGAACATCTTCGAATCCATGCTGATGATAGACGGTTTAAATGCGAACATTGTGGTCAAGCGTTTGTACAGAAATGCAGCTGGCGAGGTCACATGCGTGCGAAACATGGAGAAGCAGTGTAACAATTTAAAAAGTATTTATAAAAATATAAATTAATATCTATTTATACTAATAAAGTCTATGAAATGGACCTCTTTGCTTTCAATTTAACAATGGCAGATGCCAACAACATTGTATGCACGAATGTGTCGGCTTGGCCGATGCAATACCAAGACCCAGAGGACAGGCGTCAAATGGAACTAATTCAGCGTTTCGTATAAGACCTAAGGTTACTCTTCTTTCCTGTCCTACTCTTTTCTTTTAAGGATAGGATAGGGAGGGAAGTGAATAATACAGATCTACTCTGTCGTTTAACGGTAGCAACATCTGCAATTGCGGATGTCTATGAGTAGAAGTCGCTTCGCTATTTCGTCGTATCCACCGCCGCTTTGCCGCTTACTCGTTTGCCATCTTGTAATAAAAAAATGACATTAGTGCTTGTTTTCCACTACTAACGTTTACGGAGGTACACTCGCGTTCGTTCATGGTATAACACCTCTATCGATAAGCTCAGCTTAAACCCATCGGGCAACCAATTTTTTTTCTTATTGGGCGGAATGATCTTTTTGGTCGGTGGATCAGTGAGTCAAGCGGAAGTCGAAAGCTACTACGTTATATAAATATTAATTCAGTTTTTATGGACATCATTACCTCCGACTATTGTCTATTGAAATTTTACCAATTTCGGGAAAAGCAAAAGAAAAAGGACGGATGAAGTGTTTTCTTCATATATTCAAAGGATGAAAAGATTAAACGCTTTCAAAATTCATTAAAATCTCCTTTTGTTTGTAGGTACACGTCCTACCAAAAGCGAACTGAAATATGAAAGCCTTAGCCCTGAAGAGATTAAGGAACGAAAAGTAAAGGTTGATAATAAATCTGTACCTAAGAAAGGGATAGAATTGTCTAAACATAGAATGAATGTGCGCGAAATTTTAATCAATTCGAACGCCACACCGATCCGATGTTTTGGTGGTGTTGGGTACGCCTGCAGCTTCTGTACAGATGAATATCCAGATCCCGCAGATCTTAAAAACCATACAATAACCTCACATAAAAATATATCGAAATTCATGAAAGGAAAAGATCTATATAGATTTCTTGTTAAATTGGACATAACAAATTTAAAATGTAAACTTTGCAAGAGCACTATAGACAATCTGGAACAATTAATTGATCATCTTCGTAGTAAACATAATAAATTAATATATGATATAAAACATCAAATATTACCATTTAAATTCGATAGTGAAACGTTACGTTGTTTTATGTGTTCAAATAAATTTCACAAATTCAAAACTCTACTCGAACATATGAATGTTCATTATAGGAATTATATATGTGAAGTTTGCGACGCTGGCTTCGTCACCAGAGGTATTATGATTAATCATTCGGAATGTCATAAATTGGGTTCATTCGCATGCGATTATTGTAACAAAGTGTTTGATACAATTAGAAAGAAAAAGTCCCATGAGAAATGCGTCCATATACATTCGAATCTGCTCAACAAATGTGGTTACTGCAACGAGAAATTTAGTGATTATGGAAAGAAACAGAAACATTTGAAAGATGCCCACGATGTGCCAACACGAGAATTGAAATGTGAAGCCTGTGAAAAATCATTCGTCAGTCAGAAGCAATTAAGTGTACATATTAAAAGAGTACATTTGATAGAACGTAGTCATCAATGTACGGATTGCGATATGACATTCTTTTCTTCATTTGAAATGAGAAGGCATATGCTGAAGCATACTGGCGTGAGGGATTTTGAGTGCTCAGTGTGTCATAAATGGTATGGTAGGAGACGAACATTGCAGGAACATATGCGTATCCATGCGGATGATAGACGATTTAAATGCGAATATTGTGGACAGGCGTTCGTACAAAAGTGTAGTTTAAGGGGACATATGCGAGCGAAGCATGGTGATAAAGATTAACTTGTCATCAAGAATTAACAAAACGACAATTATTCGATTCAAATAAGAATGTGCTTCTCAATGAACTAATAAAAATATACTATAGTAGAGGTTTAACCAAATATTTTCGTTAATATTATTTTTGAAATCAGATATGGAGATTAGAAATAAACATTTTTTTAAATATTCCGGTTTTACTGACCCTACTTTTTCTATTTGAGATCTACGTTGCCACAAAAGCAGTAACCGTAAATTTGATAACCAATTTAATTTTCTCCTAGTTTTTGACTATGGGAAAGGGAACAGTTTGTGCTTGACTCTGACAGAACTAATATTAATAACAAAGCCTCTCAGCAGGCCAGATAAGTTTGTTAGATTATATACAACTACTTTTATTTTTAAAAATATATGTATATCTCTGTAAACAAAACTCAACGTTTGTCCTCCATTGGTAGCTAAACATTAGTACGGCGTTCAGTAGTCCGAAAGGCTGCTTATCCCAAAAATATGAGTAGGAACATATCAAAAGTGAGTTTATAGATTTTTTACTTACCTTTGCGATGGATGTCGATTTCAATTTGTTAAAAAATTACTTGTGTGATCCAGTTCTATCGCTTAGAATTCCATCTCGAACTCCAGATGTGGGTTACTAATACGTATTTCTCTTTGTAGGTGTGACAGGATTGGCCAAAGTAAAGAGCCGGTTTGTTCAGAATAGGAATTCTGCAAAACCTATGCTATTGAAGTTTACGACCAGGATTACTCCTGCTTCTTCGGTTTCTAGTAAAAATTTACTGACCGAAGCCAAGAAAAATCAGCACAATCTCAGCTTAATCTTGCTCAATTCTAACGCAAATCCGATCAGATGTAAGGACAGCCAGGGATACGGATGTGCGTTTTGTACAAAGCAGTTTCCGCAACCGACAATTTTGAAAAAGCACTTTCTTGAAGAACACAATAGCGATAGGTTCATTAAATTCATGTCCAGTAAAGTCTTTGAAAACGTAGTGAAATTGGACATAACTTATTTAAGCTGTGCTCTCTGTGATACCGAATTTTTACAATTGAACGATTTCATTAAACATTTAAAATCTACCCACAAAAAGGAAGTGTACGAAGATGTTAAAAGTGAAATCCTACCGTTCAGGTTCGATACGCCAGAACTGAGATGCGCTATCTGTTCGACGGAATATACCACATTTAAGATCCTCCAAACGCATATGAACCAACACTTCTCTAACTATACTTGTAAGATCTGCGCTGGGGGCTTCGTTACTGAACGTTTGCTGCAAGGTCATATCAAACGTCACGGGAACGGCGAATACAAGTGTACTCAGTGTGACAAACCTTTCCCCACTTTAAAAAAAAGAGAGGAACATGTCCAAAGAGTACATCTCGGCTTAAATAAGAGAAATAAATGCAAACACTGCGATGAAAGATTCGTGGACTATTGGCAGAAGGTTAATCACATGGTGAAGATGCACGGGGAACCCCCAGTGGTTCTTAAGTGCCAAGCTTGCGAGCGTACATTTAATAACCAGAGGGTTCTATCAAGGCATCACAAGAAGGACCATCTTCTGGAAAGACGTTATCCCTGTTTAGAATGTGATATGAAATTTTTTACGAGAAGTGCTTTGATAAAGCATATGGCGAAGCACACTGGCCTTAGGCAGTACACTTGTGATATATGTCACAAGTCGTATGGCAGGAAGAATACATTGCGAGAACATTTGAGGATCCATGCTGATGATAGACGATATAAATGTGAATACTGTGGACAAGGATTTGTACAGAAGTGCAGTTGGCGAGGTCACATGAGGTCCAAACATGGAGAAAAGGTTTAACAAGTTATCGTTGATTAGTTTTAAAATAAAGTATATTTATACCAAACATTGAGTTTTGTTTTAGGATAATAGATTTAAAATTTTAACAGTAATATTTTGTCCTCAAATTACTGCCTAAGTGTACAGTCTAGTAAAGAGATTAAACAAGTTCAGTCCTTCTAACAGAATCCTTTTAATTCAAGTTTTGTCCACTCCAAGCACCTTTTGAAAAGGTTATCCACGCATACCACAAACATTGAACTTACTGGAATTTGTTATTTCGGCCTAAATGTTTTGATATCGTTCTTTATTATCATAAAACATATCTTTCCTTCGACAAGATGGTAAAAGAAGTTTATCTTCTTATACCATCTTGTATGATATAATAACATATCTTAAAAAAATTGTTCTTTTTCTACTAAAACCCAAAATTACTTACATGCCAATGTATCATTATATTCGCGCCACAATAAGAACGGATAAGAGAAGAATTATAGGCACTTGGTGAAGACTTAATAGACAACAACTAATTATGATTGAGATATATCAGAAGAACTAAAATTATGAAGTAGGAAACGACTAAAAGAAAATCAAATAATATATAGAATCAAGCAAAGTTGAACAATAAGAAAATGATTGACTTTTTTGTTTGTAGGTGTGGCAGGGTTGGTCAAAATAGAGAAGACTGGACTAAATGAGGATTCTACAAAACCTGTGGAATCGAAAGTTACCAGGACAAAAACGACTCCGGTTCGTAGAAACCGCGCGATAACCGATGCCAAGAAAAATAAACATAATCTGAGCATCATTCTGCGTAATTCAAACGCAAATCCTATAAGATTAAAAGATGATTATGGATATGGATGTATGTTTTGTAGCAAGAAATTCCTACAACCGCCATTGCTAAAGAAACATTTCCTTGAAGAACATAACAACGAAAACCTAAATAAATTAATATGCAGTAGCTTCAACGATATTGTTATAAAATTAGACATTACATACTTATGTTGTGTGCTCTGTGATACTGAATTTAACCAGCTGGACGATTTCACACAACATTTAAAAACTACCCACAAAAAAAATTTATACGCAGGTTTTAAAAGTGAAATAATACCCTTCAGATTCGACACGAAGGAATTGAGGTGCGCGATCTGTTCGGCAGAGTTTTTCACGTTCAAGATTCTCCAGACGCATATGAATAAGCATTTCTGTAACTATTCTTGCGAGATATGCAGCGAGGGCTTCGTATCTAAACATTTATTGCACGGTCATGTCAAACGTCATGGAGACGGTAAATACAAATGCACACAGTGCGAGAAAACATTCACAACAATAAATAAAAGAAAGGAACACGTCCAAAGAGTCCATCTTGGCTTAAACAAGAGAAATAAATGCAATCACTGCGATGAAAGATTCGGAAGTTTCTCTTTGAAAACTAAACATATGTTGGAGATACACGGAGTATCGCCAGCGGTTCTCAAGTGCCAGGCATGCGAAAAGACGTTCAACAACCAAACAGCATTAACGAGGCATCACAAGAAGGACCATCTGTTGGAAAGGCGTCATGCCTGTACAGAATGCGACATGAAGTTCTTTACCAGTTTCGATTTGGTTATGCATATGCCTAAGCATACAAAAATAAGGCAGAATACTTGTGACATATGTCACAAATCGTACGGAAGGAAGACAACTTTGAGAGAACATATGAGGATTCATGCCAATGACAGGCGCTTCAAGTGTGAATACTGTGGGCAAGGGTTTGTACAAAAATGCAGTTGGAGAAGTCACATGAGGTCCAAACATGGAGAAAATGTTTAGCAAATTATTATTGTTAAGTTTTAGAATAAAGTCTATTTATACCATAGAGTTTTAAGTTTCAAGGAAAGGAAAGTTTAAAGGAATTCTAGATTCATGGAAGATTAAATTTAAAATACCCACTTTCTACAAATATCCCGCAAATGCAAAAACCGTCTGTATAGAACGAAAATTTATGAGATTGTAAG